GGTCAACCAATAATAAACTGATAAATTATGCTCAAAACTTGCGTTATTTTTACCACCTAATATCTGCTACATAAAAAGTACGTGCATGAGACGGTAATGGGGGTCAACAAGAGTAAATTTAAACAATTCGTGACAAAAAGATTGGCTCTTCATAAATGAAATCATCCACATTACACATATAGTGCCTAGGTACTTACATAACACTATATTATTATAGACTAGAAATGACTAATGAAGTAGCAATTTCACGACAAACAAGATATTCAGAAGATAAATGTATGAAGTTTCTCACTATACATATAAACTTATCAGTGATTAGTACTGGGTCAGCTATCACATTTGAAGTTTATAAATTTGTAAAAACAATGCATATTATAAAGGCAGGGCAGGTCTAAGCAAAACAGAAAAAATGGCAGGTGGTCAACGAGACAAAAAAGTTTGGAAACCTCTATTCTAGACAATTTCAGCACAAATGAAAAAGTTACGTGTAAGGAGACGCTGCTGTCTCTCGTGAATCTCTTACGATTGAAACAATGAAAGAGCATCCTGTAGTTGACGCACTCGTCATACAACAAACATCATCAAGTCTCAACTAAATCATCAATGTGCGTTATATGCCGGCGGGCGCGCCGCAGCCGCCCGTGCCACCGCCGCGGCGTCGCCTGTGCCGACGTGGTGGGTCGGGAATTAAGAGCCATCGGGTACGCAAATTGCGAGTACGAGACTCGCCTTAGGTCAGTGCACGTGTGCACTTTGCATTAAACGCTTAATGTGTAGGTATAGGCAACTGAAGACATCATAATCTTCTATACATGCCTTAGCAGACGATATAATTTCTAAGAAGTTGATAGTGCTTAGTAAAAAGTAATGACAGTAACATCATGTCTTAGAAATGGTATCCTGAAGAGAAAATAATTTGTAGGTTAAAATAATATACTAGCAGTAAATATTGTGTAAGAAAATCTATAGTGACTTTAGGTCTAGCTGACAGTTTCGATCTATGATGTTTGGAACAAATGTTCTAAATGATAAAAGTGTATCCGCAGTTGAGCTGTCGGAAAGAGTAAAGAGTAATTAGTTTTTATTACAGGACCTCGGCTCTGATTACCTATTTACAGCCTTTTGGAGTCGAAACCCTTGGCCCGTGGGATCCCAGTGCCCGTCATCTGTACAAAATTTTATCCAAAAAATTAATAGACTGTCTGGGAAACCCAAGCGCCTGCAGCTACCTTGCCCAATTCATTAGGGGACCGCTGCCAGCATTTGAGCACCTTGCTGCGGGGAGTCAATTTTATTCTATATAATACGAGTGTGTTGCGTTATTATAATTGTTATTCAAGTTATTTAATGCCAGTTTTAGTTTCTAGTATTTAAAGCTTTTATTGTTGTACCCTGCCTGTATATTTTAACTTATTGTCTAATACAAACGTAATAAATGCAATGCGTATTATACAAATGTTTGTTTACAAAGAGCAACCCCTTGAGTTCCTTGCTCATTCTTTTCAGGGAAATCTGCTTTATGAATGAGCAGTAGTTTAATCAATATGATGATTTCAAGTGCAATTTTCGTACTTTGTAACAAAGATATTTTTTAATTTGATTATATTTGCAGAAAATATGATTTTTTCTGGACCTAAGTGTAATTTTTGTATTTAAATCTCATTGGTGAATATCATTGCTATACTCATAAGCTAACAACACAATCGCATGTGACTTGCACGAGCTTGCATCGGATGTTGTTACCCGACTACAGCGAAACCAAAAGAACCCACACACATAAGAATATTTCCACACTAATGTAATCGAATAATGCGCCATTTAATTATTCGATTGTTTTAGCGAGTTAAAGGTCATTTTGTTGGAAATGGCGACGCTAAAGCATGACATCCGGTGCACAATGGACTAATTAATTACCAGTTTCACCTACGTAGGTACTATTCCCGAGCTTGGAATAGGCGAAATTGTCTTTCTGCATGACCGTGACCATAAGCATTATGGAACATATCATATAGATGACATAAATATTACAGATAAAATTTTTTCATTTGTTTTTCAAATCCATTCACGCGAAAACACTATTTGTTTAGTCATGAATAGGAAACACAGAAATGAGTTTTATCTATTCCATCATTCAGCATAGACAAGTGAGAAATTCGTATAAAATTGAAAGTTCCAGAAGAAGATTCACTAATAATTTTTAAAACATTTAACTTTATGTACGTTGCAAAGTCTCTGAAGTTACGAAGGCAGTTTCATAAGTCCGTGGTCTTGAGAAGAAAAAACATTTTTTTTTAGTTTTATTTGTCTATGTACCCTATATCCGTTTAACTCTATTATACACTTGACCAGTGATATCTTAATTTCTTCAACTCATCCAAATTTTTTTTTGTCAAACTAAAAAGTCGGCCTCTGTTTCAGCTATTACTTTCTTTATTTGATGCAAATCGGTAAAAAATCAAATAAAAAACTGAAATGGGGCTAAATCTGGTTAATGGTGTGGCAATATTTCATATTTCCACAAATTTTGATGTCCTGATTGCAGATGAGAAACGGAATACTCGACATTCCGTTTGTCATCTCCTGCTTACCTAACTTTATTACTAAGGTTATTTTTTTTTCGCGCCAATTTTAAAAAGTAACGTCAGTTGCTTATTCAGAAATACTAAATTATGAAATATAAAGAAATTCCGAAAAAAGCTTATTAAAATTTTAATATTAAGTGTAAATGCGTACGTATTTAAGAAATCGTATATATCAGAGATTAATTTTATAAATTTTACATCAATTTTTGAAAGTAATTTATATAATAATATATGTTTCCATAGTTTCCAGTAGAAAACACTTAGCTATTGTGTTGAGTATTTATTTATTCTGTAGTGTTTTCTAAGTGGAATCATGAATAAATAAAGCTGGCAGAACGTAATTAGCAACCACGTGGACACAGAACCCTATGGTTCCTTTGAGCGTTTCAATAACGGATTTTTTCTTCTGTTATTGTTGTGACTTGCATTTAACTGCTAAGAGTGATTACACACGGCGACCTTTAGCAGCGATGCAAACGCGCGTTTGTGAATCGCCTATAAATCCCAAGTGTAGCGATGCTGCATCGATATAAACGCGCGTTTATATCGATGCAGTCGCGCGCTGGCATCGCGTTTGCATCGCTGCTTAAAAGGGTGCGTTTCGTAATATATAACAACAAATGACATAGTTTTAGTCGATATAACGCTCAACAGATATAATTAATTTATGGTGTACAGACATTTGACATAATCTAGCATGATATAAAGGTTACTGGGTATAATAGACGATTGAGATAATAACTTCCAATCTAATATACCGATGTCATAATGTTCATTTTGTATAAACACGTCAGATATAACATTCACTGAGTATAATGTTGAATGTGTATGTGTGAAAAAAAATCCAGTGGTGTTTAGGTGTAGCGGTGAATGAACCAAATTTGTCAGCATTTCCTAGATGGTTCGACCTACTCCTGTGGGTTTAGGTTAGGTTAGTATATGACAAAGCTGCCAGAATCAAATTTGTTTCCATTTACTAGTTGGCTCGACCTCCTCCTGTGTGTTTAGATTAGGTTAGTAGGTATATGCAATTAAATATTCTGCTTAAAGTTTTAATAAATATATTTTATAACACAAAAAGCACCTAAAGCTATGGAAAAAAAATCTTATTAACATATTATAGGGCGCTTCAACAATTCGTAAAACGAAATATTGTGTTATATTATGTAATACATTATACTGGTAGTACTTATACCATTTGTTCATTATGTCACTTAATCATTATATCTAATGTTTGTTATACTGAAGCTCCATTATACAAATTGAAATTATGCCTTTTGTTGTTATACCTTTTGTTGATTATATACAGCGAGTGATTATATCCTTAGAAATTATATCAAATGTTGTTATACCAAGTGAAAATAGATTATTTGTTGTTATATCTTCCATTACTCACCCGTGTGTAACTTCTCTAATTTAGAAAGTTAGTTTTATTAGACTGTTTTTTAACTTCTACAAGTTATGTTATATTACTTGTCTTATATTATTTAATAATTAAATATATTCTAGATAAATAAAGAATGATTCCTTTGATTTAAACGCTAGCACAACTAGAACCAACATCTTATATTGTGGGCTCATTTACGGACCATTCGCATGATTCGCATAACATGATAAGGATGAACATACACATAAATATAAATTATTTAATGAAAATAACGATTTACACATATTAACCATTAGAATATTTATTTTAAAAGCACTTCTTGATAATAGCGCACGCATCCTCGCATTACCGAGTGTCGTTAAAGATAATGAGTACAGGTTTTGTGCACCACGGACAAGGATCGGCACAGGCAAAGTCGTGCTATAAGACTAGGAAGTTACTACGTGTTTTTTTTATTGTATGGCTTCCATGAATTTTTTTAGAAATTGGAATAATGTGTGGCGCACCTTTATCGAATTTTGTATTGAAGTTTGGAAGCATGAACGAGAAGGACTACGGATTAGTTAGATAGGTTAACAAAATAGTGGAAACAGACAATGTTATACAGTATCGTTTATAAAGGATTTAGTGAACGTAGCAATTTTTTTAACAAAACCTGATAAAAAAGTAATTAATAAGATTTGAAATGTTGTATTCAGTTCAACAAGTGACGTTTTCATTTTTATTCGGTATTTTAACAAAAATAATATCGAAGTAACTTAAGATTTTTTCACCTACGTACATTTTGGCTGTAAAGCAAGCGACGTGTTAATTTGCTATAAATAAATTATCAGGCGCAAATTCATATCCATCAGTAGCTGGTAGCTAAATGTAAAATATAAATTTCTTTACTAAATATTTATCATATCAAGGCACTTTGATGAAAAATTCCGTCGTTTAATTCATGCATTCTTATTTTTCTAGTTTCCTTTTAGATTTAGAAATGAACTTTTACGTAATCTAAAAAATATTTAGTAAAAACTACAACTCACCCAAGCAGCCAGTATCAGTCAGCCCGTAATACTCGTCGAGGCACTGCTCGCAGTTGGGCGGCGCTGCGCCCTCTGCGCACGCGCAGGAGCCGGTCTCCGCATCGCAGCCTGGCCGCGCAGCAGCCATGCCGCAGCGGCATAAAGGGCAGCCGGCGTCTACGCCTATGAAGTCAACGATATATTCTAGCTTTATTGCATGCACTGCTTCCTGTACACATACCAACATTGGTACACTTGCAAATTATACCGATTTTCAAAAAATTTCACTACTTTTCGAAAATATGAAACCATTTAAATTTTACTTGACTGCAATTAACGAAGTAAAACAGATAGTGCTGCACCACCGTATTGTTAATTGTCGTCATTTTATAATGGTTTCCTAGATCACATACAATAATACATTTAAAAAATACTGACTCTACCATGCCTATATATTTGAAATGTCACTTTTTGTAAAGCGTCATCTTTATTTGAATTCGTCACACGGCCGCGCCGTTCAATAAACTGAAAACTTGATCTTGTAAAACTACTCTACTTCAAAAGAGTGCAATAGTAATGACTACGAAGGTCTACAACAAATTTCCACGTGATATTAGGAATTGCAATGATGGTGCAGAATGTAAGAAATTATTATTTAATATTGTTATAATAATAATAATAATCTTTATTCAGTGAAAAATATACATCAATACAATGCTAAGCTAAACAAACACAAATACTATAATAGGCTGCTGAATGTACTCCTTTTTCTGAACTTCTTTTAAATGAAGCCACTACAGTCGAACTAGGAAATCCTGTATTTCAACATGTAGCCTACCCCTTGGTAAAAGCAATGTACGGGCCATTTGCTGCTCTTCATTCTAGGTGATTAAATAAGTAATTTCAGGAAAGAAAAGAAAATACGTGTGCGCACGCGCGTGCGTGCGTGCGTGCGTGCGTGCGTGCGTGCGTGCTTCTGTGCGTGTGTGTGTGTCGTGTGTGTGTGTGTGCGTGTGTGTGTGAGTTGTGTGGCGGGTGAATGCATTGAATACACTCTTTGTTTGAGTGATTTGTTTATTATGTCTTATTAGTATTAGGTTGCATTAATTGGACTGCATGATTATAGTGTATTACAAATTATTGCATGAGAATTACTAAAACTAAGAAAACTTTTCTACGCCACAGTGATTCAAAATTAGTTCTTGTAACAACTTTATAACCTGTGTATCACAAAGAAATAAATTATTTAATAACTGACCTCCATGTCCCTCGGAACACCGGTCGCACTTGGGCCCCGCCCAGCCCTCCTTGCAGGCGCAGGTCCCCGTGCGCTGGTCGCAGGCGTCGGCCAGCGTCCCTGGGCCGCACGCGCAGGCCACGCACCCACCGCTCGACCTCGGCCAGCCCTCTGAGCCAAACCAATAGCCTTCCTATGAAAATAAACAGGAATCTTACGATAATTTACCATTACTTAATAAATGTCAAGTAGATGAAACATCTACATAAATGGAGGTTTTCTACATTCGTTCTGTCTAATCGCCAAAAACTACGGCAGAGGGAAAATCCCACCTGGCACTGATCGCAGCGTGCGCCCTCGCTGTGCGGCGGGCACACGAGGCAGAGCCCCGAGTCGCGCTGGCACGGCGCGCCGGCGCAGGCGCAGGCGGTGCACTGGCTGCCCGGCGTCGTGGGCGAGCCCCAGTAGCCGAAGTCGCAGCTGGAAAGGGATCGCTTCTTAGCTTCTGGCTTGACTCTTTTATCACTTCTACTTGAACAGAAAACTAGAGAAATGCTCACTTATATACATAGAAATCACATATATTCACTTTTGATCGACTTCAAAAAATTAAGAGATTCTCAATTACTTTTCTTTTGTATTTTTCTGTATGTTACGCGATAGCTCCGGCGAACCGATTTTGAATATTCTTTTTTTGTTTGAAGAAAATATTCCACCTCTAAGGGTGGCAAACTAGGGGATGAATTCGGTTTCGCACTTTCCGGTAACCGATTTCAATAAAATTTGGCAAATAGATGTAATTCCACGAATTTTTGAGGTCGGTTTTTTTTTATAAAAAAGTTATATTAAACTTTAGTATATGTTAAAGTTATATTTAATATTTAACTTTTTTGCACAATACAACATAGTAGAAATGGTGGACTTAATGCTGTAAAGCCTTCTCTGCCGACTACAAAAGAAGAAAGAAAAGAAAACTATAGGTCCGTGCTATACTTAAGACAAAAAGTCTTGTAACTTTTCTAAAGTTTTCTTAAATAATCGATTGGGGACGTTATTCTATTCATATTCCACAAAATTAATTTCAAATTCCTGTACGTGTATTTCAAAATAACACGCAACAGCACTCACTGTTCGCAATGGTCCCCGGTGTACCCGTCTGGGCATTGAGTACAGACGTAGTCGTCGCCCTGCGCGTCGGCCAACGCGCAGTTCGGGCTGAAGTTGTTTGACGCCAGGAACAGAGGGCAAGCGCAGGGCTTACACGCGCCCTGCGTTAAAAAAATAATCAATGTCAATGAAGCGAGTGACAAAACAAGGTATCGACCACGAATTGATAGCAAAATAAAGTTTCGTAAAAAGTAACAAGTTAAGGAAGAATGTGGTTTATAGTTTTAGCAAAAATTGTAATCGTGAATTATGATTTTTGTGTACAAATAAATATTAAGCAAATTGGATATACCGTCACGGGATTGCCGTAGTGCCCTGGCAGGCATCGCTCGCAATGTGGACCTGTGGTGTTGTCCCGACACAGCCCGCACGGCCCGTCCACTGAAACAAAGAATTAGTAACTCTTTCATACCATTTCACCATCTGTCGTAGCGGAAGTTCTAATATTAGCCCCAAATGCGACAGATTGTCCATAAAGATAAAGATAAAGATAAATATCGTTTTATTTATGGAAGTAGGTACAATAAGTTCATCAGATCAGTTCAATAAATTAACAGTGCTACTACAACCAGTTTCGTTGAAACATACAAATATAATTAGTGGTGGTCGCATAATGTACAAAATATTATAATTAAAAACTGTCAAAAACTAGTAAACATACAAAGAAAAAATATAATGAAAATTAGTAAAAATTAACAATGTCAAAAATAAAGCGAAAATCATGTTAATGTCAAACTTACATAATTTACATTTCTAAGCCTCCATAAAATATATAGAGCGTACGTACCAGTGTCACATTCGGCGTGTCCGTTGCACGCACACGGCACGCACTCGAAGGCGGGCAAGGCGCCGCTGGCGTGCGACACCCGCGCGTGGCTGCGCGCGCACGCCTGGCAGTGCGCGCCGCTGTAGCCCGGCGGACACGCGCACTGCTCGCGCGCCCCGTCCGCAGCCGGACGCAGCTCGATGCGTTCGAGGCGCACCTGAGAAAAAGAATGATATGAATGTTATTAGACTATTCTTTGCTACAGCCTCCAGAGGTCCCAGGTTCGATTCCCGTACCATGAGAAATATTTGTATGGCCTACATATATTTCTCGCGTGTGTTTGGGTGTAATTTGTGGTCGTCTAGTATGTGTGTGTCCATGGCACCCGCGACACAGAGTTTCCCTAGTGCGGGGCTATGTTGAGTGTGTGCGTTATATACTATAATTACAGTACTGCCTAATTTTGCTTGCAACAACTTAAGGGCACAAAAACTCCATATTCAGCTTCTCCTGAAAAATTTAACAAAATTCACCATATTTAGCTTCGACTGAAAATTATAAATAATAAATAACGCACACACTCAACATAGCCCCGCACTAGGGAAACCCTGTGTCACAGTTGCCGTGGTCACACACATAGACAACCACAAATTACACCCAAACTCACGAGAGAAATAATTGTACGCCATACAAATATTTCTCGTAACCGTTCGGCCACGGAGGCAGTTAATAAAATTACTTGAACACAAGAGTAATGGAGTAGCCTTTATCGTTAATATTAATTAATTTTTATAAATTATTATGTCAAATTTTGTACAAATTCACTTAAAGAAATAATAAAGAGTTGAGCAGATACATACATATAAATATTATTACAAATGTGAAAATAAACGTGTACTATAAGAAATATACCGATATTCCAACTAAACGTAAACTCAAATATCCGTAATTCCGATAACCGATTTATAATAAAACCGTTACGCTTTCGAGTAATTTTGATGCTTTTCACAAAGAAAAAATGAGCTTTTGTTTTGTAATATTCCTAAAAAAATTCATTTGACATTATGGAAATTCGAGCTAACGTTATTTCGGGCAAATGTATTTTCTGACTTCTGATAGGTAACCCCAAGCCGTAAAACGAGTACAACAATATATGTCACCACGCCCATCACCAGAACCATTACCACTCAAAACCGAAACGCAGTCATTCATCATCATCATTCATATCAGTGTACATGCTTCCGCTGCTAAACATAAGCCCTCGAAGCCGACTCTTTCGTGCAGAAAATTGGTATCATCCAAACATTGTTCCATATGCACCTCGGCAAAGAGATATTCTTGAACCATGACAATTAGAAACCGAAATAATACAATGTGATAATATAGATTACGGAAGAAGGATTATTTAAAGTAGTTAAAATTGTTTTCTCACCTCATCCTGATCCCCGTGGAAATGCGCTCTTATCAATACCGCCTGCAGATCTCTCAACACATCCATTAGTTGCGCGCGAGAAGCGAGTGTCAGCTCATCCCCAACTTTCCACCAATCGCCTTCGACCAACGGGACTATCACTTCTGTTTCTCCTGGAGTTTCGTAGCTCTTGTTGCTGTAGACTATATTTGTGCCGTCTGAAATACAATAGAAATTCTCCTTTTTTGTCATGCTCCAACTAAGTGAACCATAAGGTGTAATATTGTTGATTAAGCAGCTCTGGGCCATAACAAAACCGTAAGAATTAAATACTCCTGGTAAATGAATCTATATAATACATCTCAATGTTCCCACACACTTTTCCTCTGATCGCTCATGGCGGCTCAAAAACGTAATCTGACATGTATTGCATTAACCATAATGTATTATTTACTTCGGCGGTTTTCCTGTTTTAAATTTTCTGGTGTCTACTTTCGATAGCGCAAAAAGATAAAACGCAGCCGTTTTGTTCAAAAACACATTACACATCAATCCCAGTCAGTTTGCTCTACAATGGTGTCCCATAAGGGATAGGATTGTCTTACTCTGGTATTAATAGTGTTACGCTTACTAAATTTTTAAAACTAATTTTCAAGTGCTTAGTCAAGTTTTTCTTCAGACTAGATAAAGTCAAATTGTGCATACCGGCTGCAGTTAGCACTACATCAGGCGCAGTAGTAGGGTTGCCCCCTGTATCTCCGCGCACGATGCTCCAGAATGTCTTCACGACAATCTCGTTACCGTATAGCGAGAGGTGTTCACCGTTCAGCGTTTTCGTCAGCCAATAGAACGACTTCCAGCCTTCTACCTAGAACAACCACAAATATTCAATTACAACTATATTTATATAGAAATGGAAGCCCAATTTCAATAAAATTTCACATATTTTATTAATGTCAGGACTGTCTTTGACTCTCTTAATAGTTAAGGAGAGATCTAATTCCAAGATTAAATTTAGGTTTTGGTTTGTAATAATAATAAAGTCATTTATTATCTCAACCTGTACAAAATATAAGTAAATGATCGAACATAGAGCTAAGACATGGGAGAAGTGACCCAAATTAAATCCTGTGCTACGGCACTCCTGGCTCCCTCTCTCATTATAATACAGGCAGTAAACAATAATATAGTTATTTGATACAAAATGAAATATAATGAAAACTGTTATTTATTACCTCAAGTCATAAACAGGAGGTAAATATGTAGATTTTGTCAACCCGTGACCATGGAGCGTGCAACCGTTCCGAAATATCGGGAAAATAAAAAGAAGTCATACCGTGGTAAGAAATCTGATATTAGTGATAATCATTTAGGAGGTAAATAATTGAAACTTATACGAGTCACGGGAGGAAAAGCGGCACAAATTGTTTTGCAAGATCAAATAATATTTCAGGTATTTACTATTAAGTTCTCACAAAAAACTAATTTTTTAATAAGAAAACATCTAACTCTGCCATTGACTTACAATTATATGGACGTCGGGTCCGCGCTAAAAAGTGTCCGCACTTGTAAGGCGCTAAAATCGTATACAGAGCGCCAAACTCCGCTTTAGTCTTCATTTGTTCTACTGACAGCGCGATACTGCGATGACATTACAATTTAAATTTCAAATAGGTTGACTTGGGACATTTTTTTCGTGGTTTTTGTATTAGACCCGTCGTCCATTTATTTGTAAGTCAATGAACTCTGCACATAATTTTTATATGGAGATTGTTCCCTTTAAGTTCGGTTTTCAACTGAAGCCCTACAGTAATTAAAATCAAATTTATCCCAAAACTTGAAATATGTCCTGCGGTTTATCGACATGCCGCGGCGCTTGCCGCCCCGTCAGGCACCATCAGGCTCTTGTCAACTTCGGATCTGTGTCAAATTTTCTCTGCAATTTTCTGCGCGGGAGGTGTGGGTACCCACCCACACCTCGCTTCTTAAAATCTAGGCTAGCGTTCGAATACCTCGCTTTAAGCATAAACTCTTTATATGTTGTGTTGTTAAAAAATAATCTTACCTCGTAACTAACAAGATAGAGGTTACCCTGGTCATCAGTGGACGGCTCGAGTGTCTCCCTGCCATCAACGTCCGTCACCAGCCAGCCCTCGTTCAGCGGTAGTACCATCTGGTCTCCACACAAGCAAATATTACTATTTTCAAACTATTTAACAGTTGAACCAATAACTCAAAAAGACTGCTAATTGCGATACAAGACAGAACTGTCGAGTATTTTCAAGCACACACTCATAGCCCCGTACTAGGGAAACCCTGTATAGTGGGTCCCATGAACACAACATAGACTACCACGAATGACATCTAAGCTCACGAGAGAAACCGTGGTTGTCAATTTGGCAACACAACCGTACGGAAACAGCTGAATTTAATACCGAATTTAGTACCTAGTGATATACCAGATGTCGCGACGAGTGGCTATTTTTGTTACTAATTTGTTTTACATCGACAAAGCTACTCTAATTTCTAGTAATTACAAACAAATTAACTAGATAGCGCTTATTGAATAGATTTCTATGGATAGTGCCGGCTATTCTTTTATTTTGTTTATGATTAGCGCCATCTACCCATATTAGTTTGTAGCACACAATGCCATCTGTTTTTACGTTGCAAAAGTTGGTGAAATTTGGAGTTTCTATCGACAGCTATAGTCTACGAAAGCATCTGTTGAAAGCGAGGCTAAAGACCCAAGAGCCAAGCTTACTCGACATTATACCGAAGATTTCCCGGACGTCAGCCTGTATGAGATTAGTGTGTCTCTCCAATAACTCAAGGACAACAAAGCGGCGGTCGATGATGGAATCACTACAGAACTTCTGAGAGCGGGCAGCAAGCCGATACTTAAAATCCTCCAGAAGCTTTTCAAAAAGGGTGATAAAACACTCTTGAAGAACTATCGGCCAATCTGGCTTCTGAGTCATATCTATAAGTTGTTTTCGAGAATTATCACGAATCGTCTCGCTCACAGGTTTGACAATTTCCAATCTCCCGAACAAGCCAGTTTCCGAAAGGGTTTTTGTACCATAGACCACATCCACAAGCTGCGACAGGTTATACAGAAGACCGAGGAGTGCAATCGGCCACTTTGCTAAGCGTTTGTGGACTATGAGAAGGCCTTTGATTCGATTGAGACCTGGGTGGTGCTGCAGTCTCTTCAAAGAGGCTAAATCGAGTATAGGTATATCGAGGTATTAAGGTACTTATACAAAAACGCGACTATGTCAGTCCGATTACAGGATCAGAGCTCTATCCTATCCAACTGCAACGAAGCGTGAGACATGGAGATGTGATATCTCCGAAATTGTTCACTACTGCGTTGGAGGATATTTTCAAGCTTCTGGACTGGAAAGGACTTGGCATCAACATCAACGGCGAGTATCTAACACATCTTCGATTTGCCGATGATATAGTTCCTATGGCTGAGACCTTGGGAGACCTGAACACAATGCTCGAAGATCTCAGTAGTGGTTCCCAAAGAGTGGGTCTTAAGATGAACATGGACAAGACCGAGATCATGTCTAATGCCCATGTTGTACCCGCTCCAGTTAAAACTGGGAGCACTACACTCGAAGTTGTTGACCATTACGTATACCTGGGACAGACAGTCCAGTTAGGTAAGTCCAACTTTGAGAAAGAGATCTCTCGTCGAATCCAGCTCGGATGGGCAGCGTTCGGGAAACTACAAAAAAATCTTCGCGTTCAAAATACCTCAATGTCTCAAGACGAAAATCTTTGACCAGTGTATGTTGCCAGTGATCACATATGAATCAGAAACCTGGTCCCTCACAATGGACCTCATACGAAGGCTCAAGGTCACTCAGCGGGCAACGGAGAGAGCGATGCTCGGTATTTCCCTAAGTGATAGAATCAGAAATTAGAAAACAAGTAGAACTAAGGTAACCGACATAGCTCGAAGAATTGCTCAGCTGAAGTGGCAGTGGGCGGGGCACATAGGAGAACCGATGGGTGTTGGGGCGGAAAGGTTCTCCAATGGCGACCGCGCACCGGATGACCCTCAGTGGGTAGGGCCCCACCATGTGTACCGACGGTCTGGTAAAGAGATAGTTGGGGGAGGCCTATGCCCAGCAGTGGGCATGTAGTGGGCGTCTTATGGCTGAATGATGATCAAGACTAAGTTCTCCAAAAAAGAAGCGACGATATTGCAGCGGTATAAGGTTTACTTTCGTTTGTTGAAACAAAAAAATATTACGATAAATAGAAATTTTTTTATTTATTAAAATTTAATAAAATAAGACTTAACGATGATGTGAATGTCACCATAGTTAATGTTACAAGTGCGACTATCATTCCAAAGTAGCAAAATAACGCATTTATCTACGATTTTCAAGGTTTTGCCCTAAATTATTGACAGAGAGTGGAACATCGCGTACAGTTGGCATACGTGTCACGAAAACTAAGCACTTCTATTGTATTTATTGTTCTGTGGTAATAACAATATTGTGAAATCTTCAATGTAATGTTTTCGTATATGGAGCCATCTATCTTTGTAAATGAACGACTTACAGCAGCGGCCATGTCGTCATCGTCGGCGATCGCGGCACAGGAGTCGGTGATATACGAGCAATAGCACCTTCGACAGCCCTCCCGCAGCGTCGCGCTCAGCCCGAAGTGGCCGGCGGCGCACGCGTCGCACCGCTCGCCCACCACATTCGCCTGCAAATTCACCACACAATGATACCAACGTCATTAGCAGATCTCAAACACCTACGGCATTGCCACCAAGCCTCGACAAAGCTTGATAGAGCTTTACCGCAAAGCTGAAAATATTCGAGCGTGTTGACGGGCCTTTTCTAATGATTAATGTGACTAATGTGACCATAAATTAGCAATGTACATCATCAAAAAAGAAGTTTATCTAATCCAAATTAAAAAACAAATAAATAAATAAAATTTATTGACTCAACCTTAGAATAATAACGCATAGAATGATAGTTTCATATCAAACGAACTGTCACAAGTGAGGCAAAAATCAAATTCATATAGGCTAGTTTTAGTAGTAGGTTAATTTCCGGTTTTAGTGAATATTTATATAAAAATACAAGTTGAAGCGCGTTACTTCCTTGTGGAATGTGATGTTAGTATCTGTTTTATGTTTGTCTGATGTATTTTTACACTCATTTACCGCACATTTCGTCATTTTTAGCTAAAATTCTGGAGCTATTCGCGGTGCAAGTTGACCTTGAGCACTGAAGGTCCGCCCGCTCGTGTAGGCCCTATGGGCGCGCTTCAATTTGCCTCACTTAGCGTGTGCGGACTAGGTTTCTATGCGTTATTATTCTAAGGACTCAACCTTAAATATCATTGTTAATGAATTTCTTTTAAATATGAAAATACTTGTGTCAGAAGTCAGTGCTCGTCCAAACCGATACAGTTATTATAGATTAAGTGGTGATCTAATTATGTAGGATAAATAAAAATAAATAATATACATATATGTGTGTGTGTGTGTGTGTGTGTGTGTTTGTGTAGGTCAGGATTTTTTTGTTGTTGTTGTAGCGGACTATATCAATGGGTTAAAGGGTGAGTGGTAACAACGAGTGAGCAAAGCCTTATTGGAAAACACGCATAGTTTTCAAAGCAAAACAGCAAACAAAAATCAGAAAAGGCGTCAAAAACAATCATATTTAAATTTACACATTCTTGGATTTTAGAAAATTATTTACAGAAATATTATTTTTAGAAAACAATTTAAAATTGCTTACATTTCAAGTTCTTAGGTTTTCGCGAATGTTACACATAGGATATGAAATTACTCTCACGGATCGCGTATATTTGTTTTTTTTTTTTCAAACAAACCAACATTTCGGGCGCTTTACAGGACCGATGGTCACGGGTGACTGCGACGGTAAGATCATCAACGAGTTATGTCTAATATTAATGCAAACCTCCTTATTTTTCACTTTAGTTACAAAAGTCATTAAATAAGTACCTTATTTTTAATTTTCCAAAGAACACTCCAATTTACGCTACATAAAAATGAATATTAGACAACATCAGTGATGATGAATATCAGACCAACGTATGGGACGTTGGTCTGATCCCAAAGTAAGCAGCTAAAACACTTGTGTAAAGGAAATAGGAAACAACGACGTTACCACAAACACCCAGACCCGCGCCAATGTAGAAAAGTTAGTTTTTCTACACTAACAAGGCCGGGGATCATACCCGGAATCTTAGAACGTCATAGGCAAAAGATTGGATGACAGGAAGCTCAAACTAGATTAGACTTGTGGCATGAGTCTCCTGGCCTCCAACACCTCATTACATTACTAATACTAGATTTTAATTGATGATCGATGATATAGGAATGACTAAAATAAAAATAAAAAAAAAATAAAACAAAAATTAAAAAATTAATTGAAAGTTAATAAATACTAAAATCCAAAAAGAAACAGCATATTTATGTATGTGACTCAGGTGGTATGTGTGCGTGTGAGTGTTTGTGTACATGTTTTTGAGTGTGGGGTGTAACCTATCACAAGCTTGAAAATTTTTTGTCCGCAATAACGTTTATTCGAATTTTCATTACACCGAAAACCGAATTATAACGAAACAGTTGTTCTTTCAGAATATGTTGAATGTTTATCGCAAAGACATGATTAGGTTCGGCTAGGTTACGTTAAGTTGTACTCCGGAATAATCCGGAGTATGGCCCTCTACGGCTCACCCATCTGGGTAGAAGCTCTCACAGCTCAACTCAAGCCTTTCCTGCGGAGGCCGCAGAGGGTTATAGTGGTGGGGGGTACCGCACGGTATCGTGGACGGCCGCCACACTTCTCGCGGGTGATCCCCCCTGGGAACTTCTGGCGGAAGTGCTCGCGGAAGTGCACCGATACCGTGTAACCATGCGAAGCAGAGGAGAAAGCCCTGATGCTGAAGAAACAAGGCGGATCAGGGCAGCGGGCCGCGCCGCGTTATTCTGAAGATGGGGGGAGGACTTGGAGTCCCCAATCGCTGGCTCAGTGACCGTGGAGGCCATCCGCCCCCAGCTAGTCCGCTGGGTTAACCGGCGATACGGGACACTGTCCTTTTTTGATTGATTGAGATTGGTGCAGGTGCTCACCGGACATGGATGCTTTGGTGAGGCATAGAAGACGTAGGTCGGGGAGGCGAAGGAGACAGTACGCCCACCTTCTTCCCCCGCCGTAGATTGGGGTCAGAGAACCCCTTCCATCAAGACTAAGAGTGCCCGGGACACCCTCCAAAGGACTGGGCCCGCTCTATGCGGGCCATTCGCCGAGACGCCCCAGTAGTATGCGCAAGCGGACCCTGTTTCGTCTATCTATGGCGGTGGAGTTAACCGCTGGGTTTTAGTGGCTATACGGGACTACCGCCCGGGAGTCCCACATAACCGCTCGATGCTCCTCCGAGTCGAACGGTATGCGTAACGCATTTCCCAGCGACAAAAAAGAGGTTAGGTTAAGTTAGGTTTACAAGAAAAACATTTTCCTCTCAAAATTACTTTCGAGGTTATGCAAATTCGAGCAATCGTTATTTCTGGAAAATGTCATTTCGGACTACTCATAGGCAACCGTATGAGGGTGCGTGTACGGGTGCGTGTACGCGTGCATGTGTATGTATATGTGTTGTATTGTAATGTAGAGTGTAAGTGATTCCATAAGTCTTAGTGTTGACGAGAATACACGCGTTCTACCGACGAACATACGACACGACAATGTGGATGCAACAAGTACGATTTTGGTGACACCGCGCCAATAGCAAATATACAATATTCACAAGAGTTCAACTGAAATGGTGAACAGATCGCTCCACAGAAGAGTCATCTTATAAGAACATTAAAAAAAATTTGGTGCCATCCTGTATTTCTATCCTATCTTCAAACTCACCTTACATTCACAATCGTCATCACATATTCTCTCCGGGTCCGTAATCCCCCTCGGATCACACTTGCACACCGGCGTGGTGACCACTTCGCAACCAGGGAAGATACCAAACGGGTTTTCGCACATGTCGCATAACGGGCCAGTGTACCCAGGACGACATGTGCAGGAGACGTGACGGTGCTTTTTGTCCCATGTGCAGGAGCCTAGAAATATGGAACACTTGTAAAAGTTTCACTACAAAATCTGTATGTTATTTATAATAATAACGCACACAGCCAATGTAGCCCCGCACTAGGGAAACCCTACGTCGCGGGTGCCATGGACACATACATAGACAACCACAAATTATACTCAAACTCACGACTGAAATAAATGTAGGCCAAACAAATATCATAGGGAATCGAAACTGGGGCCTCTGCGTGGCAGTCTGGTAACTGTTCAGCCGTAGAGACAGTTTTTATGGTTTTTAATTAGAAATAAACCATAGAGTTTGTGTTGAATTCACTGAACTCTAGTTCCTGATAAAAACTCTTTAGGTTTCATAGAGATTCATAAGTTTCATACAGATGGCGCTACACCAAAATAGCCATTTAAACCCAACCTGCATACAGAAAATCTGTTTCTCAGTTGGTAAAAATGGTAGGCCACAGTGAGGCAACAGACACTGGTTCGAGTTTAGTCGAATTGAAGAAATTTTTCTTTGTGTTTGTTCGATACGTCAATAATATATCATCTGTATGATATTATAACACAGAATTTACTATCTCGTATATTACATTTTTATTGAGCAAGTGGATTCCGCTACAAGAAGTATAGAGCTATCCTAATTATATGACGCAATTTTATATCAAGTTGTTGTCATTTAACACTTTGAATTTCTAATGTAGCGGAATCATTTAATCGTGACTATGACACGAGTAAGAAATGTTTTAAGAAACATTTTCCTGGTTGGGTTGTTTCTAGACCTAGTTCTGTAAAGTATGCTCAGCAATATATACCGTTGGAACCCTCGTGGTCGCAGTTGCAGGGCTGGCAAGGACCGTCTGGTGTAGGGCTGTAATATCCAATCAAACATTTGTCGCACAATGGCCCTGCGCGATTCTCCTGGAACCATTCAATACAGAGAAATCAATCAAGTTAAATTTTCCAAATGCAATGAGTACCTATTAAAAAGACATGGTAAAACTAAAGCCAAGCTATTGGGCAATAACGAAGCGCTCATTGTATACTCACAGTGCAATTGACGCATAGTATAGCGCCTGTGTCATCGTAAGCGCAGGCGCCTCGTTCGGCGCACGCGCAGTTATCCCCATCATCAGGAAGCTGGTCGCAGCCGCGCTGCGCCGACCACGGGGAGCCGTTGCAGCAGCGCTGGCAGTGTGAACCACAAGTGCCGTGTAAGCATTCGCATCTTGCTGCCTGAAAAAAAAATGCCAGAAATACCATTTATAAAAATAAAAAACGAAAAACAATATTAAAAATACATTAAGAACATAACAACATCTACATTGAAAGTACGTCAGTTGGCCTACCTCAGAAGTAACTTCGCAATGTCTTGCGTGACCGTGACATATGCATCTGGTAGCCAATGTCAGCTCGCGCATTGTATAGTACTGCTGCGCGGGAAGCGCCGCATGCGCAGCTCGGAAAGACACGCGAACACGACGCGCCGGTACACCCTCACCCATGCCGACGTGCATCTGCCGGAGTAAAGAGATTTTTTGAGACAACGCCCTGTCA